AGGGAGGAGAAGTGTTGGAGATGTTTTACCCTGACAATACAGATCTGGGCAGGAAAATCTTTCCCGGGTGGTACAAAGGAGCTTGAAAGAAGCCACCATCCTGCTTTGATGTGGATGGTTCTTGGCTGAATGAATACAGACCTTGGGAAATATGCATACGTACGGGGAAGTAGGGAAACAATTGAATGCTTGAGACAGGCAAAAGGCAGATTTTTAAACTGAGAAACAAACTTGCAGCAAAATTTCCAGCCACGAGATTATTCTGCTTTGAGCAATCAGGTGGCTAAAGAATGACTCAAGGTGCTGGGAATGACTAGGAGGAACTCTGCTGTCTGACTCAGCACCAGCCTAACACTTCAACACGCATCCGTTTGGGCAGCAAAACGTGCCTTAAAGCTGCTACAAAGAGATACCTGCAGTAAACAGGGCCTGGATGAATTCAGGCTGGTTGAGTCTCAGTCCTGCCTGAGGGGAGAGCAGAGGACCCAGCTCGTGGAGCAGCCTGTGGGATGCACTGGCTTTGGCATCCAGCAGAGTAGCAAGAAAATAGGATTAATGATCAGGACTACTTTTAAGACTCACTATGGTGTTAAAAATGAAGGCTTGGTGGATCCCAGATGCTGAGAGCACTTTGAATTATTTTAATTACTTAGAATGTGTGGTGTGGGTGGCTGTTTTGTTATTATTATTATTTTTTTTTCTGATGCAAATCCTGCTTTGGTCGTCTCCAAGCCTTTGGTTCCCTCTGTGTTTCCTGGCTACAAATTAGCTGTCTACAGGACAACTATTCAGACCTCTCAGATGTTTCAACATATTGGTTCTCGGCTCGGGGTCCATACCAGTTCTCGGTTTGGTCTGGGATAAACTGAGAGGGGAACAGTGTGCAACTGCCACACACAGGCTGGTCCCAAAGCAGCTGGCAGGATGAGCAAAACAAACCCAGATGTCCCTGAGTCAAATCCCTTTTGGGGGACAGACATAACCTGTCCCGAAGTCCAGCATAACAGGAGCAAAGGAGACCTGACAATAACCTTGTACCTTCCCTTTGAATTAGGGCAGATTTTCCCCAAATCCTCCCCGTCTTCCTTGTCTCATCTGATCTGGAAGACTGCAAGCGAAACAAAATCTACTGTAACCCATGATAAGGTCATATAGAGGTCTATCAGTGCATTAAAAATTGATTTTTCGACTTGCAGTTGTCAGATCTTGCTGTATGTCAGTCTGCTAATACTTTAATTTTATTATTCGCTAGCACTGAAAAGTTAGATTTGGGTAATATTCTACATCCCTGATTAATTCTTAATGACACAAATGTGTGAGACCCACACCTCGTGTGGTGCTCTAGGCTTAAAGGTAGGTGGATGTGTGGTCCTGAATGCTTTGAACAAGGACAATTTTGGGTTGGGCAATTTTAATCAGGGATAGCCGAGCGTGCTTCCAATGGGAGCAATTTTATAGTTGGGGTTCATATTAGAAAGTCCATGGAATATGGAATAAATTGAAAAAATCGAACAGGAAAATCCATGTTTGCTGTTCAGAGAAGGACTTTACTGTGTTACTGTGCTCTGAGGCTCAAAGTCAGCTCAGCATTAGCACTGTGCTTTGGTTTGCAGCAAAATTAACTGCAGCAAGCACTGGTGCCACAGTGTTCCCTGGGAGCGCGTTAAATATGGCCTGGCACTACTCCCATTCTCCTAATTGCCTACCTCTGACACACCATCCTGGCAGCACTGCTCACAGTAGGATGATGACAGGCTGTGGGGACACCCCTAATCTCGGTGGGGTGTGGATTGACTTCCAGACCTCTGCTGACTTGTAGGGCCACGTGTGATGGCTCATGGCAGCACTGCAGGGTGCTTTGCAGCCCATGTGTGCTTCAGCACTTTGCTGGACTAAGGCCTCTGATTACAGCCAAAAAAGCCTCCTTGGTGATTGGGGTAGGCTGTGCAAGCTTTTACCAGGACAGTTTTTTTAGCTCCTGGCTGGCCCTGGAGCAGGATGGTGTAAAGCTGTTCCTCTTGGAGCTGTACCTGACACCAGAGCTGGTGTTGCCCATCGTCACCCAGAGGAGCAGAGCCTTTTGCATCCCTTTTTGCCTTCTTGCTGTAGGAAACAGATCTTCCACCCCTGTGGCCTCCATGCAAGGGAGAAGAGAGGTGTAAGCAAAGGATTCCCTGGCTGCTGGGTGAGGAGAAAGCAGAATTCTTCCCCAAGCCTGCCTCTATGTCTGTAGGATGAGAGAGAAGCCCAGAGGAACAAGTCAAGGCTGTCTTTGATAGGGCTTGGGTCATTTTCAGCTCAGTAATGCCCTTCAGAAACGGATCTTGTAAAGGAGAAAAGCCAAACAGCTCAAACATGCAGGAACCCCTGACAGTGTTTCCAGCTCTGCCAGTAACTGCTCTGGGATGGTGGGTAAAGGGCAGTCTTCTTTACCTTTGAAGTGTACACTGCAGTAACACTTATCCAAAGTTTAAACATGTCAGTGTACTTGGAGAGGAAGAGTATATGTGCCGGTACAAACCTTCAGATCTTTGCTGAAAAATCATGTTTTACAACTTAAGCTAGAGAAATCCTCAACAGTAAACACGCATGATGGCTGAGTTTTCAATCCCCCTCCTAAAGAGACAGATTTGTTGTTCCTCTTCCTCTCATTCCTCTGCTCATTCTAATTTAACAATGCAATAATTAATCTGAAATGAACTACCTATCTAGCATGATGGGATGATCAGTTTTGGCCAGAGAGCACTAGCATTTAAATCAAAATAAAAACAAAAAAACAAAACAACACAAACCAAACCCTAAACAGGGTCAGCACCATTCCTAGGAATTCGCAAAGGAAGTCTCTCTTCTATGCAGACATTTAGTTCAAGTCTCAGCGGCAGCTTTCTGACCTTGGAGTTGAAGGAGGAGAGATGAATTGCAAGAAGATTAGGAAAAGCATCGTGTCTGGGAAAGGGCTTAGGACAACGGGACATGCTGCCAGGAGAGGCTGGGAAACCGCCAGGGTTGGAGAGAGGCTTGGTGGCTTGACTTCGTGGTTGCTTATTTAAAAGTGGAATCAAAGATACAGCAATGCAGGCAGATGGACTAGACCCAGTAAAGATCCCTTCTGCTCTACGCATGAAAGAGTTCAAGGGTATTCCAGGAGCCTTCTGACCTTGTTCATGCCCACAAGGCAAGGAGTTTCCTACTGGTGAAGGGATGTGTTTGGAGTCATGCGTTAGGAAAAGGGTTGGGACTGGTCTACAATGCTCTTCAATACAAAATGAAAGCCAGACTTACGCTAGCGTTAGTTTTATCACTTCCACCAGAAGAAATACTCCATCGTTTTATAACCTAAACACTGCATAAAAGAGAAACATTTCTTTTGTTGTTACTTTAATCCCTGATACCCCCGGTTTGCCTTCTCAGGGCAAGCTGAAGATGGGACCTGATTTCCAGTGTGGTCCCCCGCAGCAAATGGCAGAAAAAGGGGTGAAGAAAGATATTTCTTTTCCTTTGTAACACCTTGGATGTTACTAAATTCATACCTACTACTTACTTGCCCATACTGCAAGCTCCCCCTCCCAGATAACATCCAAGGGAAATTCACAACTTGAAAAAGACTCAGTCAATATGCAGAGGCCACCTTCACAGCTTCTTTCCAGCAGTTCAAAGCCCTTTGATGCTGACTTTGGCAACTTTAATTCTAGATAGATTTAGATATATCTCTGAAATGCCCAAAACATCTCAATCTATAAAACTCTCCTGCAAACATACCATAGATTAGCTTTTACACGGTACTTAGGCATTTCTGATTCTTACAGCTGTGGCATACCTAAATAAAAATAAAATAAAAAATAAAATAAAAAAAAAAGCTCAGAGCTGAAACTCAGTGAAATGCGTTGAGATTTTAGGCCAACACAGGCTTCTTTGATCTGAGCCACTCCGCTAGATTCGGTATTCCACTTATTCTGTAACACTGGGCAGCCCATAATGACACCTTGCCACGCTCAATAAAAATAGGATTTGCTGGGACCACGTCTCCAGAGCTCGGCGCAGCTATGCTGTGAGATCTGAATGCAGACCAAAGGCTCTGCAGTGCTCTGCTTCCACAAAGAATCAAACTAAATCTCTTGCTCAGCCACCCTCCGCACTCTGGTTTTGTCTCTAAGCCTGTCCCATCCAAATAAGCCCCACCAGCACCTCCTTGACCATTCTGCAGGTGACTGTGCTTCCTGGATCTGACTTTGCTTTCCTAAACAGCTATGCCCATCACTGCCTCCTTGGCCTCCAGCTCAGCCCCTGCAGGGACAGAAAATTCTGTTCCATAATTACCTTAGAGGAGGCTACAGCGAGGTGGGGATCGGGCTCTTCTCCCAAGCACTAAGTGATAAGACGAGGGGAAATGGCCTCGAGTTGTATCAGGGAAGGTTTAGGTAGGATAATAGGAGGAATTTCTTTGCTGAAAATGTTGTGCAGCATTGGAACAGGCTGCGCAGGGAAGTGGTGGAGTCACCATCCCTGGAGGTCTTCAAGAAAGGTGTAGATGTAGAACTCAGTAGCACTGTTTAGTGGTGGACATCAGCACTAGGGTAAAGGTTGGACTAGATGATCTTAGAGGTCTTTTCCAACCTGAACGGTCCTATGATTCTTGCTACTCTTGCATTTTGCCCTTTCCACCTCAATTTCTCCAGGGCTGTTCTGGTTTCCAGTTCCTAGCTGTGAGTGGAAGCATGTGGCAAAGGATGGGAGCAGACAAAGACAAGGAAACACAGACCCCATATGTGAATGGACACGAGGACAGACTTTCTCCATCTGGGTTGCTGCCCACTCTGCAGAGAAGCTAGTGGTACCTTTGTGGCTCTCTGAGTACCGTGTAGAGCATGTGTCATTGTTGCAATGTGCACGGACATAAGCTCAAGGTAAGGCATTGAGTGAGGGCTCCCAAACTTTCCTGTGCTCCTGCTGGCACTAGATGGCTCCAGGAGGTGATGGTGTTGGGTATGTATGTGACTAACCTTGCTGTCCGTTGTTGGAGACTCCTTCTCCTTCTCTGCGTGCTGGAGTTTTCTGTTCAGGTCTTGGAACATGTCTTGGTGACGTTTTCTTGTGTGCATGATTTTCTGAAGGAAACACAAGGGCCACACGTCAGCAAACCTTATCCAGCTGTACAAAACCATAATTTCTTCCCCCCAAAGTTACATGTATTATTAAAACCTAAATCTGTCTCCCTGTAGGTGAAATCTGTCCTGCCTAAAAAAGCTTCAGACTTCACTGAGGACTCCGTGTAATGCTGCCTTTAACTTCAGGATAAGATGGGATAATTTTTGAACTTATGGTTGCCCCAAACCTGCGCCTGCCAACTGGCTATGCTGCAAAATTTGTGCTTGACTGTCACTGGTCTACCAGCTTGATCAAGGAAGCTTTGCTGACCTTTCTTAACTGATCACTGATGCCATGCCCCCACTCTGTTCAGAGCGTGCCTCCTTGGCAAATATATTCAGAGCTTATCTGAATGTGTAGGATTTAGGCCAAAGAAGTTATAACAGAAACTGCTTCGCAATTTCCTTTTTCGTTGTATTTTCGTCGTTCTGCATCTCACTTCTACCTTCAACTGCTCAGAAGGAGATGTAGGACTAAGTTTTAGAAGGGTTTCCCTTTGTATGTAAGAGCACAGTGAAGATTGTTTGCTTGTGCTTTGTCAAGTGCTCAATAATTGGTGGCTTATGTGGTTTGTGACCAACATGAAGAATCAGCTCAGATGTACTCACTGTGCCTCAGTGTCACACCAAACTCACAGCCCTGGGCTCTGAAGTGGTTCCAACATTAGAGGCAACTCCTCATGGTCCCTTAATGTAGCTTATTTTGGAATAAGGCAGCAGCTTTGAAAGGAAAGCACGGCTCTGCAGCCACAGATGCTGTGATCTGACTTAGGAGATGTTCATCAGCTCCCAGTAGCCACAAGACCTTTTGTGGAGCACTGTCTCTTTCAAAGCTTTCCACTTTGTACCTCAGATATGAGGTCAGACATGTCCCTATGTACTAGTTCCTCCCAGGCAGATTCTGTGTGGTTCATTAATAGGTGTGAAAGACCAGGTTTGATGAGGTGCTGTGACAGTGTGAACACGTTACCTGCCTTTCTGTTAAGCAGCAGAGCTTTGGCACAAAAGACAAGGCATTTTAGGTCACTAAGCAAAAGATGTACTTGTGCTTCCCAAACGGGAACGTGGCACAGCCACCTGTAGCACCTTATCAGCTTTCCACAAGCGGTTTGTTCACAGAAGAGATGCTACAGGCCTTGTGCACCCTGACACAGGATCTTGATTTACAAATGTTTACACAGAAGCAGCTGCTCCATAATTTAAGCATGAACCAATATAAATCACCCTTTGGTTTAGCTGCACAGGGTAAGCCTTACTAGGCAGCCAGCACAGCTCTTTCAACCCACCATTTTCAACCCCTCTGAAGCAGCTCTTTGGCAAAGGCTGTACTTCTGCAAAGACACCAGGAAAAAAAAAAAAAAAAAGGCATTTCTCTTTCTTACCCTACCCATCAAGGAACACACTCAGAAAAGGATGTACTCACCTCAAAATCTAGCTCTGCATACCGGGATTTCCGTCTCTGGGGATTCAAAATAAAAAGAGAGGTGTCGCGATGGTTAGTAACAGGGATTGATACTGCTGGGTACAGACTGAACCACACAGTAGATAAAACAGAGAGGTTCTTTCTCTTTTTTCCTTTTTCCACCACATATGTTTCTCTGGCTGTTCCTGATGTGAAGTGCCATTAGAGGGATCCCTCACAAAACCACAGAGCCCCAAGGAGGGCTGAACATAGATTTTTGGCTAATTCAAGCCTCTGAGTTAGGAGCTTGCAGGTGATTCATAGAATGGGAAGCAAACAGAGATGCTCAGCCATTCTGATCTAGTAGAGCTTTTGACCAACAGTCAGTAGAGACCTGAAATTTGGGCAGCAGTGGCCAAGACTTGCTCTCTAATAGCATGCAAAAAAAAGGTTCAGGGTGGTGAGAAGTACAAAAGCTGAGACAGACAGACATTGTAAGACGTACAGACTAGGGGGAACTGCTAATTTATGTCCTGAGTTACCACGGGCCAGAAGGAGAGGCCTGCACTTATGTAAAACCCCCGACATCTCTTTGGTGCTAAGAGATTTGTGGGGCATGCCTTAAGGACATTTTACATTTGCAACTAGGAGGATTTTCTCAAACTGTATCATGACTGAAGCCATTAAAATGGGAAGCAGAGGAAGAGGATAGAAGGAGAAAAGGTAATGCAAGCCATGTGCCTTGTATTAAACTTAACCGTCTTTGACAAGCCAAAGTTTTGATTTGACTTTGCATTGCCTGTAGGGCAAAAGATAGTGGCTTTGTAAGCAATGAGGGATTTTAAAAATTAAATTACAAAATGATATCACCTGCTGGGGTTCCCTCAGAGTAATGTAATACTGGAACTAAACAGGGGACTGCATTTGCCCTGAGACTTCTCTCTCGAAACATCTGGTGTGGCCAACATTGAGGACATGGACATCACCATCGGCTGGGAACAACACAGGGATTGGACATGCTCACCTCCAAGGAGCTCATGGAGAGGGTGGAGACGGTCTCACTCTTGGACACCACACCTGAGTTCCCTGAGTCTCCTGTGTCACACAGGCTGTTGGGAATCTGTGACTCATTGGAGATATTCTGTGGGGGCAGCTGCTGCTGCTGTTGTATCATGGAGGAACCCTGCACCTCACTGCAAGTCATGGTCACAGGCTCCCGTGGAGGACTCTTGACGACAAAGCCTGGGTCAGTAGCCATACTGAGGTGGATCAGCCTTGTCTGGGGCATCTGGTCAATATTGATGCTGTATTTGCTCTCGTCCTTGGGTGGTTTGGCCCGTAAGGTAGACGTGTTGGTAGGCAGAATGACATAGCTGGTGTCCAGCGTTTGTTCTTGGGCCCGGGAGAGTTCTGAGTCCAACTTCTTGAAGATGTCCCCATCACAGATGTAGATGGATTTGGGCGGCTGGTTCTTGTCCTTCTTCAGCGTGAGACTGTGATTGCTGAACTCGTTCAGGTTGATGGCCCCCAGGTAGTGCGGGGAACCCTGCAGATGCATCTTGGAGACGTTGGCTGGAAGACTGTTAAAGTTTGAGGACCCCTTCTGGTGATTGAGTTTCAATTTCTCCTCATCCTGTAGTGATGGGCGTTTCAGCGTTCCTGTGATGGTTGAGGTCCTGCAGGCTGGTGATGTCTTTATTCAGCACTAGGGAGACAGACAAGTATCCTTAGCACCTCACCTTAGCCTTTTTTTTTAACACATCAATACACCAACCACAGTCACACCATGTTAGCATGTTCCCTTGGACCTCTCAGAAACAGACTACAAAGGCCAAACAATTTAATACTGTTCTTTGTTGCTGTTGTTGTTTTTTCCTTTAGTCCAGGATGCTGAAGGCAAAACTAAAACTAGGGAGGAAAAAAGATCCCTCATTTTAAGAGAATTCTCTGTGCTGAGAGTTTCCCAACCCAGTCATGGCCAAAACTCCAAAGTACACCAACACATATAATCATACTGATAACACTATCTCAAAAAGCAATTACATATATTTAGTTATTTAGCATATGTAGCATATACATAACATGTTACTAGCCTATGGCTGAGCAGATTGTTTCATGTAGAAGCTTGATTTCATGAAAAAAAAAAATGGTTTTGAATCAGAAAATAGTTGAAATGCAACATTATCTACAGCTCTTTTTTTTTTTTTTTCTTAATTATTATTATTTTTAAAAATTTGCTAAACTACTTCAGGTTGATCTTTTCCAATGGATGGTTTCAGGATTTGGTATTTTAAAACACATCATATTTTCTTATCAATTTCTGACAAGCTCTCCATAAAGCTTATGTTCCAATAATCATGCCAAGCCTTTGTGAGAGATAATTATTTAGTGTTTCTCAATTTGCATAGGGGACAAAACGGAGTTCCACGAATATTCCTAAAGAGGAGGGGAATGCTTTAATCTGAGGATAAGGTGAACATGCCGATTAGGAGCTATATACAGGACACACAGACACTCATTCCCACACCACACAGTCTACAACAAAACAATTGCTTCATTATGGGCACAAGGACCTATTGCTCGGTTGATTTGAGGCTGCAGCAAAGACCTTAAGAAGATTATGGCATCAGCCTTGATGTCTGCAGGGGATGGAAAACACTGACTATGGGGCAGGGACAAAGTGGTGTGGCACTGAAGGATACTTACCCAGCGTTTCAGCACAGGAAAGGAGATATAAATTTGTGTTCCCCTTTCTCCCATCTCAGAAAAAAAAAAAAAAAAAAAAAAAAAAAAGACCTTTTACCATTTTTTTTCTTGTGGAGCAGAGACAAAGGTCTTTGGGGTGACGTGACACACAGCAGAGGAATCCCATGGGACTGGGGTCATACCCATTTTTCTGCCAGCTTATGCTGGTGGGTGCTGGAGGAGCACAGAAGCCCTCAAAAATTACAGAGCAGGCAAGGCAGGTTGAGGAAAAGACCAAGTGGAATACAGAAACTTTTAAAAAGCTTCAAAATCTACACACACAGGGCATACCTATGGCAGCCACAGTTATCTTGACATGGCTAGAGGGCACACTAGGACAAATTAGAGAATTATAATGTATTCATACCATAGGGTGCAGGAAGGTGTTACTGAAATCAGGCCTTTATGCAGGACAAATCATGGCCAGGAAACAATGGAAATTTTTTTTTATTATTATTCAAAAAAAGCAGAATGCATAGGAAGACCACTGATACACTGTACAGAAAGGTCTCCAAAACGGTGACTATTATTAATTAGCTTGGTGCAGACTAATGGCACTTTACCAGGGGATGTTTATCTCCTCAGGCAGACAGCAACAAACAAAAAAAGTTGTAAAGGAGCGAACTAAGGACGGGAGGGCTAGGTTGTTAAAGAGCTGCCAATCCAGGGTCTTCTGCCTTTCCTTTGGAAAACTCAATTTAGAAGCAAGAAACTTGGTAATAGATACAGAACAGCTCCTGATTGCAGAAGTCTTGGGTCTGCCTTGGCTGTCAGCCCAAAGTGGGCTGCTGGCTAGGTAGCCGGTTGGGTATGCATGTTTGCTGAGCATGCATTCAAGTCAGACCTGGTCTCATGTGCATGTCTTTTGCAGATGGTATTTTTGAACTGAGGTCTTCAGTGTCAGAAAGGAAGGAAAAAGACAAACGAGATGATGGAGTCAGCGAGAAATACAATTATAGAGTATGAGACAGAGAAACAGAGAGAAAAAAAATGGAGCGACCCTGAAAAGAGATAAATGGACAGAAAGAGACCATGAAATAAGATATCACAGGGATAAGTGAGATAAATATACTGTGGCTGTGATAGGCGTAGGGAGAGGGAGTGAGGCAGAAAGAAGGACTGAAGAAGACAGATAAGATATAGATAGATATTAGATAGATAAATGATAGTGACAGTGATAGACACTACACAGAAACACAGCGACAGAGATAAATGTTGACAGAGATAGAAATACATAAACAACAGGTACAGCAAGACAGACAGCTGAGGACAGTGATAAATAAGTGATTGCAAGATAGAGAGAGAGAGAGATGCAAGATAGATAAACACATTAGAAGCAGATAAAGAAATGATAGATTAGATAAAGATAAATGGAAGGGACAGGTAGACAGATGTAAAGAGTGAGGGAGAAAATGAGAGAATGAGAAGGAAAGAGAATGAGAAAGAGTAATACAGAGAAAGAGAGAGAAATTTTCCCATGATGGGAACTGCACACATAGTATTTACTGTCCTTGGCTTGGAGAGATCCTGGTTTGGAAGATATGAATTATATGCAAGTGCCAAGCGAGCTGGTATTTCTCTTGCTTGGGGAAGGGGACAAGTGTGGGAAGGTAAATGAAAACCTAAATATTTACAAAAAGGGAAAAAATCAAATAATAAATCCCAGCCAAATGGTCAGGCATGCCAGGATCAGGAAAATACAAAACCTGCAGAGACAAACAGGCAGCAAAGGAGACTTCAGAAGATGCAGACACCCTCAGGGGCATGGGAGAAAAGGGACTTAATGGGACAGGGACAGTTGGCCCATGCATAAGAAGTCAGAAAGAGCGTGTGTGACTGAACACGCAGGAGAAAAGTGGAAGCAATGAAAGACCTGACCCACCTCCATATGAACAGGCAGCTTACTACTGCACCAGAGGTGTGCATGGGGCCAGGGAGTATGTTGGGAAGGCTCTCCAAAGTCCAGACCTGCTTAAAGACACCTCCTGAGCACATAGCTGTCTGAGGCTGGCTTTGGACAGGGCTTACTACAGCAAAGAAGGATCACAGCAGGAAGAGATGCAACCAATCTCTTCTTCCTTGATTCTCTTCTCTGCACTGTGTCACAGGGACCATAGGTAAGATATAATACTTCAGAGCAAGGTTTGACCTTTGCTAGAAGACCAAGAGAGCTGGAGGGGAATAGGTTAAGCCAAGCATAGGGGAGAATTAGGGGAGCTGCTTTCTTTTGGCCAGGGTTGAGAGTAAGGGCAGCCCACACACGCACATGCAAGCCACTACGACATACACAAATAAAGTAGAAAGGGAAAAAAATGGCCTAGTTCAATCCCCAAACCAGGTCACTTGTTGATTCTCACCTGTGATGTGCTCACCTGATCTACAAGCCATATCCACGTCCTTCTCAAAATCGGTCTGAAAGACAGAGAACACAGAAGACGTGGTCAAAAGGAGGTGATGGGGAAAAGAAAGGCATCTGGAAAATGCAAAAAACGTTTTAATTCATGAGCCAGACATAATCACTGCCAGAAAAGTGGAGGAGAGACATTTCAGTTAGTCTTTGAAACATGTCATACAGACTACTTTTTTTCCACCTGTGGGTCTTGAACCTCAGGCACTGTAACACTGCTTTCCAGCTGAATTCTTCTGATCATCCAAAAGCTAATTCCTGAGCTACCGAATTCATGTATCTCCCTGGAAGATGTTTATGCATATTTCAAATAAACTGGGGACAGATTCCTGGCCTGATCTGCCTTCGACATATCTCCCCACATTTAGTCCAAGTGGATTCTCCTCCACCAGTTAAAAAGGTCTGCAGATGCTGCTGATAGTGCTCCATACTTACTGGAATTTCTTGTGATTTATCACAAAATCACATGAAATGGAAACGTGTCTCTGCTTCTTAAACTCTTAAATATCTTCTGAAACTCTGAAATATCTTAAAATATAAAAATTAATGGTCCCTCTAGGAACAAAGGCTGACTAACTTTGGTTGTGGTCTGTATAGGCAAATGAAACTCCTTCTTTCTCTCAGTATGAATTAACTCCTTTTTGAAAGCTTATAGTAGATAACACTTTAAAGAATTTTGTGTGCAGGGAAGACCACAGAATAGCAAAAGGTAGAAGAGTTCACTAATTATTTCTAGTATCATTTCAGAAAGAAGGCATTTAAAATAATTGTACTAATGTGCTGAAATGCATTCCAATTTCATACTAAGAAGAGTGTGTAAAATAACATCCCCATTGCCCTGGGATAAACACTTAAGTATTAGCAGGTTCATAACCAAGAGTTTTTGGAATTATGAGTAATTATGTTAACCTTGCTTATGCTAATTTACTAGCAAATTGTTTAGAATATCAAATAAATTTGAAAGGAATAGAAGAGAAATAATATCAGGCTCATGTTAAAATGGGCAAGTGGGATGACAAAGAAAAATGTAATCACATTTTGATGATAGGAGTTTCAAGAAAAAATGCAACTGAGCAACCTGTGCTAGTTCCATCAATAAATAAACAAACAAAGGATAGGTTTATATTTAATAAATGTCAACAAGATTTTGTGGAAAACAGTTTGCTCAGCTAAGCTTCTTTTAATACATCGAGAAGATTTTGAGATTAGTGGAAAAGGTAACAACAGAAATTCTGTCCTTCAGAGACTTTGATTTCTTTGGTTACAGCACAATTCAGTGACTATAAAATAACATTGTACCCCTCTAAAATATCAGCAAGGAGTCATCATTCATGTCTGGGTTTAGGAGCTCTTTGTGCTTGGGTGTAAAGAAACTGTAAGCTCTCTACTTCTCAACACGTCTATCAACAGTTCAGAAGTAAATGTAATCTCATAGCTAAAAACCTGTAGCTGACAGAATTGTGCAAGATGGTTGATAATAAATGAAAGCAGAGGTATACAGAGGGAAAAAAATCTGACACTTCAGAATATAGCTCCTGGGATGCTAACAATAGAATAACAAATATAGTGTCCACAATCTGAAAGGATACTGAGAGTTTGAAGGACATGTGGAAAAGTGTTACAGAAATAATTTGACGGCAAATGTCTTACAGAAGGAGAATAAAATAGTGTGTTAACTTACTGCAAGGAAGACTGGGACTGGATATGATTATTGTCTGTTATTGAAGGAGCTGAAGTATGAGGCACACAAGGGCCTTTGTAATTACACGTAAATAAGCATAGTCAGAATAAATGTGTGAAAATTAGAAGAATACATATTTAAATTAGAAATGAAGCACCTGTTTTTAAATATGAGATGTGATAGAATAGCATATGCCTTGATGTCTTGACTTCAAGATTGTGCTTTGGACTGAAATGAGACCTGGCACCCAAGCACTATCTACCTGGCTTAGCACAGGAGTGACTGGCAAAAATTCCTGAGGTCGTGATACAGGTCTAATATTAAACAGAAGTTTTAAGAACTTGCTCGAATCTTATAAGTGATTGTCCTGATGTTGTTACTCCAGTTTCAGAAATTAAATGCCTCCTATGTCATACACATCATAACACCAGAGCAAATGCAAGGCAATTCCCCATCGTTTATCATCCTACTGTCTTATCTAGATTGTTTGTAAAGGATTTACACAACAAGAGCAGGGTTTACAGTGCTTAAACTATATTCCCAGTGAAGCAATGTAAACAAGTGTGCTTGAGACAGTATCTTTATAATAATGACTATGATCCAACACACTGTGATTAAATCAGTATTAAAAAAAATTGCCTCCTAGCTCCAGCTAGGATGAGGCAGTATGATGAAGATAAAAAGGTCTGGGAGACTTAGGAGATATATTTGCCTCTTGTGTTTTCTGGGAAAGGAAAGATCTCCCCAAGATGTCTGCAAAACCCAGTAAGCTGGAGCCCCTGAATGTTACAATGAAAAGAAACAAGCCTTGTGTGAAAGAGCCTACACTAGGATTGTTCAAGTGCAGGTTTAAAGGAAAAAGGAGTGATGATTGCAAAATATATGATGGACAGAGCCCTCTGTTTATCAGTTACATGTAAAAGACACCCATAGGTCCCTTAGTAACAGACTAGATGGTAGTTTTCCCTACCATTAGTTGAGCGTGTCCGTTCTGAAATGAACCCCCAGAGTCTCCATTGCCCTCTTCCTGACGATCTACGACTCGGCACTTCACAGCATCCTGGACCTGCAGGAGCAAATGGATTTGCACAAGTCAGAACCAGACAGAAGAACCAAATGTATTAAATTCTGCTAAAAACAACAACAAATGAAAATATAGTCCTTGGTAGATCACAATATTTTTTATGATGGATGCTATTGCATAAATCGTTATATTAGGATCTACAATTTTTGGTTATGATCCACCACCAGCTGTACTATATATCTGATCCAAAAGTCACTGAAATCAATGGAAAAAAAATAATGCCAGTGACTGCAATGGGAGCTAAATGCAGGCCCATATTCATAATGCAATTAGAACAAGGAGTCTCAGCCAAGCCAGTGTTGTAATTCCATTGATTTCATTGGCCTGACATAAGGAATTAATCTGTTTTACTTAATTTAAAGGAGCTGTAAGAAGATAAAATGAATACTGAAAAAAAGGGCTTCCTGTCTCTGTTATTAATAGTCTATCCGCTCAGTAGGATGAAAAGAATAAAAGAAACATAAAAGATTTTTCCTTTTCTTCCTTGATATAATTTACCATTTTAAATCTCCACAGGGAGGCTGGAGAGAATTTACTCAATTTCCTCACTTGATTACCGCTAACATTACTTTCTAGCTGAAATGTCTATGTGCTAATGCCAACATACAATCATGCTGTAAACCTTGGTGCAGGTTGCCCCTCTCAAAATCAAATAAGCAAAATTGGTTTTCCTAATAATCCATATTGGGGAGGGAGAGGGTGTAAACAGCCTGGAAATATTAATTTTCACAGAATCATAGAATATTCTGAGTTGAAAGGGACCCACAAGGACCACTGAGTCCTGGTTCTACACAGGACCACCCAAAAATCAGACCCTATGTCTGACAGTGTTGTCCAAACATTCCTTGAACTCCAGCAGCTCAGTGCCATGACCACAGCCCTGGGAAGCCTGTCCCAGTGCCCAACCACCTCTGGGTGCAGAACCTTTCCCTAACCCCCAGCCTGACCCTCCCCTGTCCCAGCTCCGTGCCATTCCCTCGGGTCCTGTCGCTGTCCCCAGAGAGCAGAGCTCAGCGCCTGCCCCTCCGCTCCCCTCGTGAGGGAGCTGCAGGCCGCCATGAGGCCTCTCCTTGACCTGCTCTGCCCTGGGCTGAACAAACCAAGGCATCTCAGCTGCTCCTCATACATCTTCCCTCCAGACTCTTCACCATCTTTGTAGCCCTCCTTTGGACGCTCTCTAATAGTTTTATGTAAGATAAGATTCATCAAGATAAGATTCATCAAGATAAGATTCATAAGATTCAGCTTACCACAAACCAAACCCCCCAGATCCCTCTCTTTGGGGCTGCTCTTCGACCTCTCATCACCCAGTCTGTACATATAACTAGGGTTGCCTCTTCCCAGGTGCAGAATCAAGAACTTGCTCTTGTTTAAACTTCATCTCATTGCTGATTGCCCAGCTCTAATTTGTCATGATCTCTTTGCAAGGCCTCTATACCTTCAAGGGAATCAACACCACCTCCTAGTTTATTATCATCTGCAAACTTACTCAGAACAACTTTCACTCCTTTATCCAAATCATTTACGAAAACATTAAAGAGATTTTTGGTGTTTAGCAAGCAAAACCTGGCATTTGAGCTAGAAAAAAAGTGAATCTAAGAGTGTCCCCCGAATTCTACTCTACAGGACACTTGGCATAACAACCACTGATTCATTCTTTCTTGCTTTCCATCTTCTGACTGATAATGTCATGGTCATTTGTTTGGCCACTGCCTACATGAAGGCAAAAGCTCATAGGATTAGAAAAGCTACCAGGCTGAGTGGGCATTTTTCAGACATTTTCTGTAGGAACTTTGTTGGTTATATGAAAGAGAACGAGTCATTCTGCTAACCTCTCTCCTAAGGATACAATGAACCATCACGATGACAAAGCCCTCCAATGAGTCAAAGACAGCAAAAAGGATCTGGAAGAGCGCCGATCGCCGATCTGTGATTGCCAGAACTGCAGACATCCAGGTGAGAGCCAGGAGAGGCAGGACCACGCAGGAGCTCCAAAGGGATGCCCTGTTAAGGGAGAGGAAAAGAGAATTGAGCTCCACTTCAGCCTCCCCTGCTCCCATGTGGGATGCTAATTCAGCCTCCTGATCCCATGGGGATTCAGAAGACTTCTCCAGCACATGCATACTTGTGACTAGACGTCTCCTGAGCCCCTGGCACAGGGAAGCAGGAAGATGCTTTGCAACACTCACGCTACCAAAACAGGTGACACACAGTTTCTACAGGAGGGACTACTAGCCGATGGTGCAATCATGCATAAAACTTGAGGTGGGGAGGAAGGATGCAGATACCTCACTCCCCCTTTCGCGCCCTTCCCACTCTACGTCACTACACCACAAGGGTGGCGTTTCCCAAGGAGGGGAGACAGAATACATTCACTGTGGGTTGCCAGAGGGAAGGGGAACAGTTGCAGCAGAGGCTGGTTTGTCACAATGGCTGTCAGTACTCAGGCTACAGACACTTGGACTTCCAGAGCACATGGAAGACACCAACAGGTGGGGACGTGTCACGGTTTCAAGTGACTAAAGCAGACAAGCATAGAGCTGATGTGAAGACTGACCTTTTGCTGTTGCTCCCTTACCCTGTAGCTGATGGTCCCTACAATTCCACAATAAGCACCAAAGGAGCTGATATGTAACTCTGATCAACTTTGAACAGAAAAAATATCATTTTTCTTGTGTGATCTGCCCATCAGAATGCTCTGAAAAGAACTGCAGTTGCTTCTATCTTTAGCAAGTATTGCAAATAACTTTATTCTTGAGAGACTCCTTTAAGATTCAAGCCACTTAGTAATTCACAGGACCAAAAACTTCCTGCAGTGTTAGTACTGTTGCATGAACCTCCATCTTTTCTATGGCTGATGGCTCTAGAAATTAGAAGGTAGCTCTGCTTCTGTGGGCTATTCAGCCCTTCAGCTCTCTCACTAAAAGCATCCCAAACAATTTTAACAGCAATGGAGATTTTACGCTGTCTGTTATCCTATGTATTTGGCACCAAGAGTACTGGGAGATTTCCTTTGTGAGCTTCTATCTAACAAATAGTAGTAGAGCTATGCACAGACTGAGCAACAAGTTGAGCTTCAGGATTTTCTGAATAGAAAACCTCAAGCTATTCACTAACAAACATAAACAGGTAACACAATAAATTACAGGACAGATATCGTGACATATGGTTTACAGTACTTGCATGGGACCTGCTTACCATTTTCTGATATATGATCAAGACTTTAATGTTTACTTGCTGGTTATACAGGTACCACTCTCAGATCTCAGTGAGAATTTTACCTGAAGAAAGCTGGAGCCTGGACACGACGGGTATGAACATCAGGATGTAACACCCTAAAGAATTTTTCAAGGACTGTTACATCAGTTCTGCTGCAGTGACCACATACTGAAGTGATGGGTTATTTTTGTAATCATAATGGTACTATGATTGCAAATATTTCGACAACCTTTTCAGACTCAGATGTGTTTCTCGGTGGTGTTTTTAATCAATGTGATATCCCTCAGGGAGCCGTTAAATGGCATAAAATCTTTTCAACTAAACTAAGCATTATGAGGCTTCCTTGTAAGGTAAGGGCCAGATATAATGTAGATATGCTGTAATTTTATGTAGGATAAACTCAACTTTAATGTCCAACAAAGGCAATAATTTTAAAGCACTATTAAGAAAAGAACCAGCAGCCAAAGACAACCCTCAACCAAACTGCCAAACAGACGTTTGTATTCCACTTCTCTCCCAGCTCCCTGATATCTGGCTCATTATACTGAAGTAAGTGAAATCTTTCATTGCTATCATTTGCAATGGTGCATTAATATAACTGGCTAAATAGTAAGTGCAGTAAAAAAAATTGAAGGTGTAGAAAAGCCAAATGGAAAGTTGAGGTTTGCTCCATAACATGCCGCTCTAGATGCGTCTTCCACAAAAGGATCAGCAAACACAAGATGCCCGATGCATGGCTTGGTAAAGGAAGTCAATCAAGTACCAGTCTGTAGTTTGATTGCCCAAAATCAGGACAGTCAATAGAGGCTGCTAGAGAAGGTCTGTACCAAAGAACTCGGTTTTCTGGAACTACCTGGTCACCCATCACACTCTTAATACATACAGATGTGTATATTATTACCAAAATGCAAACAGGAAACCTGTCAACCACATCTGAGAATGGATTTGACCTCTAACCATTGGTTTGAACCAGAAATCTAAATTTGCATAGGGTTTTCCATTCTTGAAAAGAACTGCAACATCATATTGACAATGATTTGGATCTGGATTCAAGATTAGATGTAGATTTTGCTTGCAAATGATGCTGCTGAAGAGGTAAATTCTAATTTTCACTAGCGACAGGTAACACTTCAATCTATTGGCTTCAAAACCTTTTCCAACAGATTATACAGACACTCCGCTTTAACCAGGAAGTGCATCAGTCTGAATTTGCTACCCACAACACTGATGCAATATTCCCTAACTATGGGGGGAACCTTCAGAGCTCCTGCTTCTTTATGTTGGATTCAGTCTTCCCTAGCCCTATGTTCTGAGTTTCTTAACATGGACAAACTGTTCAACTCTTCTGAGTCAAGACATCCTGATGGACTTCACTATTGCTTCCAGCGTAAACAAATTTCAGAGCAACACTGCCCACATCACACTTTCAACTCAGATGATTAAAATAGTATTATGCCAAATATTCAGCTGCCGTAAATCCGAATTATTCTGAATTATGTCTTACACCAGCTAAGAGTATGGCCTGACTTTCTGCTTTCTTTGTGATTCATCTTGCAGATGCCTTTTCAACAATATTCATCCCTTACAAATGTTATGGAAATGTTGCTTGACATTTAATGCATAATCTTTTTTTCTCAGGAGGCAGATGGCAATGGGTCATAAGACTATAACTTACTCTAATTTCACTTTCAGAGCTCTGCTTAGCCTTTGAAATATTAAATTCAAAAAAAGTTCCATTAAAAAAAAAAAATCATATCTAGACTGAAATTTTAAAAGAAAACTCAGGGAAAGATAAGTGGTTTTCCTGTGACATTGCCCTTAATTCTACCTGCCGTGAGCTGAATTCATAGAAGAATTCACACTTCAGCCACTTTTCTGTGTGCCCATTTTGTAGGAGGCATTCTTAAAAGCTACCAGGAAATCTCATAGGACCTAAGAAACATCACGTTACGGTGCCATGTGATGGGAAATAAAATGATGATTTGTTATATAACAACACTCTGATGACTTAACAGCTCTTCATTATGGATTATCTATGATCAATGAATCCATGATTTGTATTGCTTGGGACAAAAGACTAACCCTGTTGGCTGGCAGATGAAGAATGCATTTTTCCTATTGATTTATCCTGATTTATTTGTTGCATACATGACAGCACTCATCATGAACAACTAATATGAAGGGAAGATCATTACATTTTAGTATGGGAGCATGACGCTGACTTATTGCATGATGACCATGGCGTGATAGTATTACTCAGCAGGACTGAACCAAGTAAAATTACTATGCCACCATTTCAAAACTTGTGACATGGGCACACATTAAATGTATCCGCAGCTTTATCTAGCAGGGCAAAGACTTAACCTCATGGGAGACCCAGCCCTGGCAGCAAGCAGATGATGGCCTTTGGTCAAAAATATCAAAACCTGGCAGTAGTTTTGTTCTTTAGCTAGCTGTCAGCCTTGGGAGTCTTTGTCTTTGCAAAAAAAATAAATAATAATAATAATAATAAAGGCAGGATATACCGCTGGAACTTAGTGAATAGCAATGGAAAGAGCAAAAATGGATTTGGGAAACAAATATCTACATGAGAAAAGATTAAGAGGCCTGTGCCCTGACAAAAGGCAAGTGTAGGGGGACACACGGTACATGCCAACAAAGATGTAAAGGGCCATTCTAAAGACGTAAGCAATCAATTTTTCTCATTACTCAAGGCTGACAGGGCTGCCAGTACAATAAGCTTAAGAAACAGCAGCAGAAGAAATAACTTTAGAACTCAGAAAGCAGCTCTTGGAGAAGAGCTCTGAAAAGGAAGATGGTTTCTGGCCTTCAACACACAAGGTAAGGGATGTCTCACCACACGTTGTGCAGACAAGGTGGCTCCACTACTCTGATAAACCTACAATTCCTGCCTCACAGCTGCTCTGTTACAGGATAATCACCATACAAGGTTTTACTTGACTGTAAATCTTGTGCTTTAACCCTTCTCTAACTTGTGTTATTCCTAAAAGCAAGAACTTGAGCATTTCCCCAATTTAGGGACAGTTTCAGAGAAGCTCCCTTTAACTCAATGTCTATATAGCCAAGACAGGAAATCTTTACCTAGCAAAGAAGAGCCACTGTGCATACTGATCCCACGCATGGGGAGCACAGAAACACAAGACATCATTTCTATTTTCTCCAGAAAATGATTCTACTCTCACTTGCTGCAATCTGCATGATATGACCAGGAGAACAGGAGATCAAACACCTCTGAATTAAGCAGGAAATGAAACAGATATGGGAAGACTGCTTGATTATTCACCCTCAGTAAGGGAAATAGTTCTTTGACCTCCCAAGCACCCGCAGGGGCTAAATATTGTCCACAGGTTAAGAATCCAATTTCAAATTCCTTGAACTATGCAAACAACACTGTTCCTGGTGACAGTCATAAAATCAGCCACTCACAGAAGGGGTGATTCACATTAGTGCTTAGACTACAATACTGGGCAAAAAAACTGACATCCAAGACTTTCTGAAATGACTCTGAGCCAAGAAAAATCCCTTAACACAAGGGACTCCTTAATCCCTCTGACAGAAGAGCTTCAGATGACATAAATTGGGTGATGTATGAGAAGTTCTTCCTTCCTTCCTTCCTTCCTTCCTTCCTTCCTTCCTTCCTTCCTTCCTTCCTTCCTTCCTTCCTTCCTTCCTTCCTTCCTTCCTTCCTTCCTTCCTTCCTTCCTTCCTTCCTTCCTTCCTTCTTCCTTCCTTCCTTCCTTCCTTCCTTCCTTCCTTCCTTCCTT